ATAGAAAAGACTAATATTTATAAGATTTTATTTAAAAAGTTAGAGATTAATATATAATTAATAGATATTATTTTAAAAAATTATGCAATTCTAAAGTGAATCAGAATTAATTGACAGTTTGATTTCTATTGATTGTCACATGCATAGTTTCACGTCCTCGATAATTTCTATCCACAAATCCTACGCTTGTACTATTCCTAGCTCGTGTAAGGAGCGATAATTGTGTCACGGAAACATATGAGCAAACAGTCAATGCTATTATATAACATTTCGTAGCCGCGAGAGTTAACGGATTTGACATTACAATAGAGCAGCGATAATACTCTTTTACAGGAGTCTTGCGTAGAATAGCAGAACTTCGCGACAGCAAAATCGCGCTGAAATAATCTATCGCTTGCTTCGCGGAGACCCAGATCGAAGTTGAGCGCGGGCGCATGCAGTTGTCAAATCTACGATGTAACTATCTGAATTTTACATCGTGCATTGTTTAGGCTTGTACTTTCAAAAACGGAAATGAAATGATTAATGTTACGAAACTAATAATGCCCATAGTTATACGTTTCATCACTGCTACTTTTATCGCTGCTACTTGTATAATATCCAGTCTCTCACATAAAATGCGGTTAGTTTTAAATGATCCTATGAAAGATGGTCTTTTGAAATTGATATTCGAAATTCATATATTTTTTTTTTTTTTTTTTTTAATTGATAGTCGCCATTTTATTTGATTTTATAGAATCTTTTTTTTTTTTTTTTCTAAATATATAAATAATTCAAACAGACGTGCCAAAGATTAAGCAGCGTAAAAATTACGCATCTACTTAAATAAAAAGATTGCTTCCTCTATTGATTATTAAATGAATTTTTTAAATAAGATTATATCAAACAATTAGTTTAAAGCTCTCGATATTTCGAATTATTTCCATTAACATCGCTTTTTATCGTTTTAAATGCGTGCATTAATGGAAAAATTTCCAATACTTATATGCACGATACATTGAAATTCTTCATATTTCACGCGACGCATTAACATGTATGCGATGTAATTGTGACAGAAAAAAGAGTTGACATATCATATTTCCTGAAAAATTATGTTTTCAATGCTTGTAAGTTTCCCCTCGAATCCATTTTGATGATTTGACTTTGTCAAATATGAGAAGTGGAAACGATCAGTCGAACGTCATACTGACGAAACAATTCGGGCATGGCGACAAGCGAAATATCAAAGCGTTGTTCAAATTATAACTTTTACGAAAGCACTAAGCTGAAAAAATAGAACTGTCCGTAAACACGCAGAACAAACATCATACTTTTTTTGACATTTTTGACGTATTTGCATTTTGACTTTTCAACGCGGAGGAGTAAATATGTAGAAACGACACGCAAAAGGATAAAAATTTTGCATACGATCATCGATGGCGTATGCGCTATGGCTATCTATATATTATATATAATACAAAATGTTTTTTCAACTAGGAGAACATTTTATTCTTTAACTTATAGTTATGTGTTATGTATATATGTTGTCTAACAAGTGTTATACAATTACAATGTAGATTCTTTTCATATATATCAATCATCAATTTTATATTGCTAATAGCAAAAAAAGAATAAAACATATAGAAAAATTATATATTTACGAATAAATTTAATTTATTTTTATATATATAAAAATAATAAAGATGTAAGTTTACGCGAGTTTTTCCCGATTACTAAATTGTTTGCAACTTCTTCTCGATTGTTTCGCATAAAAAAAAATGTAATATTCAAATTAAACTTCTTTAATTGCGAATTTTCTCGAACCATTAAAAGACAGACGCAGGATGATTGTGCGTAAATTTCACAGAAAATCGATTCTTCTGTGAAATTGATCAGTGTGCACAAGGCACGAATTTTTTTTTTATCTTATACCAAAAATATGTAATTTCTTAATTTGAGATTTATAATTTTGATAAAATCTGTATACCCCCTGAAGGAGCGTAGGCGAGAAAAACGTCTGGGCGAAGTCGCTGAATCGAACCCGAGTCTTTCGGGGGGGACTACTCTTACCTCGGTATTATTCAGATCCGACACCTCGATACTTCTTATTTAGCCTACAAATCTACTAATAATAACGCCATCTTTGAGCCCACACCTTTCAGGTATGTGGAGTCTGAATAGCTTAGTGGTAAGAGTCGTCATCCGGCAAGTGAAAGACTCGGATTTGGTTCTAGATTTTTTTTTCTTGCCTACGCTTCTGCAAGGGGGTGAGAAGGGCTTATTAAAATTATAAATCTCGAATTGAGATTTATATATATTTTTGGTATAGGACCAAAAAAAATCCCTGCTGCATACTAATCAGTTTCATAGAAGAATTGATTTTCTGTAAAACTGATAATGCATGATCATCCTGCGTCTGGCTCTTAATGCCCGCAAAAAAATTAATGTTTGTGTTTTTACATTAAAATTGTGTTTTTATATTAATCTCTTTACTTGTTATTTAATTGTACTTTGCATTTAACTGAATTTTACTTCGCATTTAATTTTTAATTAACGCTCGTGCAAAATACTTTGTTAAATAAAAAAGAATTCGTAAAAGTTTATCTGGTGTTACCGTCACTTCCTAAAAAATAAAAAAAAATCTAATTCGATCAATCGTTATTGTCGAGAAAGTTTCACGGTACATCTCTTGACTCGTGATACGCAATTAAAAAGATATTAAAATGAGCAGTTATAAAATAATTCTGTAAAGTTAAAATTCAATTATAAAATGATTAAAATAGTAACGCTTTAGTCATCAATCTTTAAAACTATTGAAAGTGTGCTCCATGAACGTATGGAATCATTTTCCGTTATAATATGTGCAAACAGAAACTGAATTTACAGATTAATTAATGAAAATGTTAATTAATGAAAAACAAACTCAATATACGTCTGAAAGTTCTTAAGATTTTAAGTCAAGTAAGTTGATTAACTTAAAGAAAATATATAAACGTGTATAACACAAAATCTCATTTCGTTCTCAACTAATTTTAAAAGTTTAGCATATTAGTTTTACACATCTGGTACACATTAATTTTTGTTATTTTATATGAAAGTTAATTTAACATAAAAAAGTTAATTTAAAACTAAATAAACGATAAATTTTTTTTTACCTGTTCTCAATGCCTTAACACGCAACGATATGATCTCAATTAATCACAAATGGATTAGAAAATCTATGAATAAAATGATACCGAGAAGATCAGAAAAAAATATCGAAAACCAGAAGTTCATATCGTAGTAATAATCTTTAAAGACATTGAAGATAACTAATTGTTTTTTTACAATTTTATAACAAATTACCCAACAGAGATAACGATTACTAAGATAGATCAAGAATGATATAAAAACATATTTATCGCTTTATAATGATTTATTTGCAAATTCGTATGGAAATAATCAAATTCCGTAATGCAGCACCTACGCCGTTTCCTCTGCAGACTACTTTAGAATTAATAAATTATCACTGGATTTTTGTAGATTGTAGATTATTTCGGTCACGTCTTAAATTTGGAATTAAATGTATTAATAAGCAAACACGTATGAAGAAATACTCACGTTTAGCGTACGCCTTATCGCTGATGGAAATCAGAACCATCAGCAGAACGAAGGAAAGGTAGAGCGAGAAAACGGGACCGGAAGTCGCGGGAAGTTTACTTCTCATCCTGTCGCGACGGTTGTCGACGGCGTGCTTTGCTGTTGTAAGGACGATTCCCGAAGAAAGAAAACTGTTCACGGTTTTTGCCTATTTGCGTTCGCGAATGACGGATGACACCGAAACGAGACAAGACGAGACGAGACGATGCTACCCCGTCGAGCAGGTGGTTGTGAATGAACGATGGTGGCGGCGCGCGTTCCCTCTTTTACAGGAACGGAACCGGAGTGGCGCAGTCTGATATCGCCGATGTAGTGTATGCCGGGTACGCCATCGGGACATTCGTGGGTGGCGTTGATATCTTCCAGGTGGTGATGGCAGTGATCACGATGTAATTAGTTATGAACTTTGATGATGATCCCGGTTGCGAAGATCATCGGGGATACGAGTCCCACATCGGGATACGAGACTCGCGCGTACCTGAAGGAGCACTTCAAGAGCCGATTTCGTGGAAATCTCAAGTAAGGTAGTTAAGGTACGATTACGGGTGATTTCGACATTTTCGCAATTTAACAGCATTCATATATATGATAATTAATTGTGGAACAAGCGAGGATTATATATTCGCGATTTCAGTAATCTCGACTTTTTAAGATGGATAAGTAAATGAATCCTATTGAAATTTAAACATTCTCATTCTTAATGTTTATGATAAAAAATTGGCTATTTTTTAGACGTAAAATTTTTTAGATACATTGATATTAAATTGCATGATTTTAAATGTTATGGATATGTTGATTTTAGCATTTATCTTCTCACTGTGATTCATATTTTTTCATGTAATTTAGGTACAAAATATATACAGCTCTAAATTTAAATTAAATTAATTTTGTGTTATTTAATAATTTAATAATTTAATTTAATATCGGTCATTATTTATCATTTTTATTCTGATTTATTTTGGAACGAATACGAAACGGTTCACTGAGTTACTCACTCTCTCGAAAATACTGTTAACTATTGAAGTGATTTTTGTTACGATAATATGATTGAACAAAATTGCAATGCAGTACAAAAATGCAGAAAAGCTATATTTTATTTATTTAAATCATACTCAAATAATTTTATTAATGCGTATAATAGTATTTTTCTTTTTTTTTTTTTATTGTAAAACTTATATATTTCTTATATAGATTTTCCTCAACCCAATGAGAAGGGGATAGTTTGCTTTTATGGATATTTAATAAATTCTTTTGTGAGTATCCATATGTTTTATATTGTTCTGTACTTTGTATAAAGATCAAAGTATACATTTTAGCTGGAGCGATACATTAAAATATTATTCAGTTAATTATCTATCCAAGAATTATCATTCATTTTATGTTACATATTTATATATTTGTAACATATTTTACTTTTAATATCTATCTCTGGCATTGACCTACTTATCACTATTTTTCGCGCACATTTTTTACGATATTATAACGTAATATGACCTCGAATTGTTTGACTTCTTTTAGATACCGTCCGATCTGGAATGAACACGTTTATAATAAGATAAAGCTTTGAAGTTCTTTTTTTCGAGAATTTAATCAATTTTATTAATTGTAACCGTGATTAATTTTGATAATAACTGTAGTTAATGTTTAAACACAAGAGAAATGCATCTTGAATACGATAAACCAATCTTACTTATACATTTTGTGTGGGTTGATGCTCATTATACTTCAAGAATATTCTGATGAGGTAATTTCATTGGAAAATTGTAAATGTTTTCATGCTGAATTTAATTATTTGATATTTAATTAATCGATACGTATGTACAACAATATTCGTACAACGAGAGAGATCTTGACAAATGCTTAATTAATGATATCCGATAATTCCGTGCCAATCGTGGTCATCCCTGTCATCTCGTGCTGGCAATCGAACGCAAATGTAACTGAAGGACGTGAATACGTGCAAATACCAGTACTAAAATCAACTTGCGTTAATTTTATCGATATCGTATATTACGATTATTATTAATTTATATATTCTGCATATAATTCGCGTGATTTCTAATTTATAATCCAGCAGCAACTTACAAAGTTTATGACAAACTTATTTTTACTTACAAACTTTTATTTATCAAAATAAAATGAAGCTGATGAGTGTTTCAAAGTAAGTTTCAACGTAATTTACTCCGGTCTCTCTTTCTCTCTATTTCGCGAGATGTAGCTTCATGATGATTAAATAGAAAATAATTATTATAATCAGGATTTTGACGATCATCAATATATAATATATAATAACCATCAATGGAAATTTTTTTTAAGATGTCAAATATATCAATTATAGTAACACATTACTAAAAAAAGTATATGAATGATTATGTCTGACATTTCATATTATTTGTAATATAATATTTATTCTCTTTTGCACGCGCGTGCAAGTAAATTTATGATTTTTGTTGTTATATGTTGTAATTTTTTCAAAAATCTTTTTATATATCTTTAATATATATACAGTAAGTATCATGGTATATTTAATAACTTTGTATGTTATATATAATTATGGAATGTTATCGCGTTGCAAATTCAAAGTGACGTTACAATTGTAAAAATATACATATCTTTTCCGCGCTTCATATATTTCTCACACATATCACAGATCAAGACTGATAATGAAACTTGATGGACTGTCCCAAGCATTTTTCAACGTTACAAAATGCATAACTGTAATATTCCTCGAGTTACAATGTCCTGGTTTTCAAGTTAGATTTTTCTCTTGTTTTTATAATGAAAAATGTTATATGTGCGACGCATCGTCACTGTTGTAAATATCAACTGTCTTGCGTTGTATCTGTCCAGTATCCGTAATAATGATCAACGACATTAACATACCTGGTTTAACGCACGCGGAGATTGACGTTCCGCGAAAATTATTGTCATCAATCGTAACTAATGCATAATCAAATGCATTTGCGATATTATCGCGGTATATATTAATGCTTAATATCTATTTAACGATGGAATTTAATTCATAAATAAAGTATTCAATAACAAAATGGAGTGGGCTAATTAAGAACCGAGCGCTGTAAACAGTGCGCAATTTCTTCTTTCTTGTGAGAATTTTATTTTATATGTTTCGATCCTATTTTCGGACCATCATTAGTGAAGAAATTTAGATTTTAAATTTTTTTAATTGCGTTCTCCGTTTCTTGTAACTGACTTGTGGATAGTGCCTTGTCCCCAGTGGAAGAAGTTTAGATATTTATAATACTATCAACTAACAAGATGAAAGTAAAATTCTTTCTTTACGGAGGCTAGAATTGGAGGGAGGCGTATTGAAATTGTCCGGCTCTTAATTAGTCCGCGTTTCCTTTTGTAATTGAATATTTTTTATCAGAGGCTCAGAGATTTTAATTTTCATAAATAAAGAATCCATCTGGATCGTTTTCATTCTTCAACGTAGCAAAATTCTCCCAGATCTAAAATATCTCTTTCTCTCTGCATTAAGCATCCGGAGAAATTAAAGAGTTCGTAATCGCAATGACCTTTGAAAATATTACGTACGATGTAATTTTTGTTACAGAGCAAATTCATTGACGCCGACCTCGTTTTCTCGTTATCAAGCGAAGGAAAGTGATTACAATGAAAAGCGGAAACAGTTTATAAGTGTGTTTTAAACCAAATTACATTCCATGGACGTGTTTAAATGAAATTGCAATTTCTTTGAGGAAGCAGAAAAGAGATTGGTTTTTCTTTTTATTTTTTTTTATCTTCTTTTTTTTCGGTTTGTTAAAGTAAGAATCTCAACCCAGTTGCGTATTGTGATACTAATCATATTTCTCATAATCAGTTTGTTATTATCGAAATATTTCTTCGCTCTATGAAATATTAATATGCTACTGGAAGATGTTACCGACAAGATAAGAAATTTATTATTATTCACTTATACTGATTATACTGAAAGATTTATAGAGCAATATAATATTAATTATCTTCAAAAAAAATGGATGATATATATGATATAAGTTTTTTTAAAGCATACTATAGAACGAAAGAGATCAATTTCAAATTACCGAAATTAAATTGAAATTTGTAAAATATTCTATACCTGGGCTATTTAAAATACTAACAGTATTGAAATAACTAGCAGCGACAGTTCTTAAAATATCAATAATATCTAAATCGTGAAAACGAGCTCGCGCTATAGTTGTAATAAATTTTGCTTTAAGCAAGTTAATGGAATTTTTTCGGGGACAGTTTCTAAAAACAGGCGAGCGATAATAAAATCGCAAAAACGAGATTAATGGTTCTTTTTTTAACACGAAGTAATACGAAATAAACGATTATTACGAACAAAAAATAGGACGACCGCCACATTCGTGGAATAGTCTCGTCGATCCAGACTGATGAGCTCAATAGAACATCCATTGGATATATTGAGCTTATTGAGCTTATGATTGAAAATTAAAAATACTTAAACAATAGCAAGATAATATTGAAGAAAGTTCGTACATAGTTATAGGCACTGTAACAACATCACAAACTTACGGACATATTTTTCTTCTAACAAGTTCCAGAAGTCGAAACTTACTTCTTCCGAACCATTGATGAGAAAAATATAAATCTTTCTTGTCGAGTATTAAGTCGAAAATAAGAAACACACTAAAAATCTTAGTTCCCTTTGTTTTATTTTTATGTTTTATTTCTTTTTTATTTATATTTAGTTTAATGCATATTAATTTCTAATATATATAATTTCATTCGCATGATTCTATTAACTAAAATTATTGATATAATATATTAGTTTCTTTGAAAAGTGCATTTACACAATTAAAATTTTCGCCTATATATTCTTAAATTTATTATTTATGATCGCATATTTTATTATCCTATTTTAGAATTATATAATCAAGACGAGTTCCTTGAACACAATCCCAAAAGCCATCTCATTTCTAAGATTTATCTTGTGTCATTCTAAATTTTATTGTCAAGAACAAGCGCTTACCGGACTCTTAAACTCTCATTTTATGTAATTATTCGTTATCTCCTCATAACAAATTTTACCATAAAATCTTATCTCCTCTTCTGATTTACGTTTCCAATTATTATATGAAATAACAATAAATAAACTTTGTTTTAAGAAAAAGCAGTAGAATAGATGATAAGAAATGAATATCCGGCAGTGCGATTTTGGAGGAAACCCACTTTTGTTATCGCGAAAGATCGAAGATGAATCTTTTACGTCCGCGCACCTGACACACGCTTAATTAACGCAGATTTATTTTCGCCG